ATGGAAGGAAAAGGATAAGGAGAAAAATCTAGAGGAAAATATGAGAAATGTGAAGAAATGCATGGAGCATAGAGACTTGGTACATCCATAAAACTGTGTACTATGTAACATAAATACAATTATAATAGGACGAAAATTTCTTTACTTTAACTCCTTTCTGCATAAGCCTGGTTTTATACCAAATTCTATTTGGTAATGATGTCTACGTTAATTAAGTCATCTTGGTAATTATTTAAAGTAAAGTTTATTTAAAAAATTGTCCCCATGTTCTAAATAGCTTTTGTTATGCCCAAAGAAAATTTAATGTATTTTATACAGAAAATGTTCTGATATTATGTTGCCATGGTTCCAGATCAACATTTTTCCGATGAACAAACATGAGGATTTAGACATTGCCATTCTGACTGCTCTACTGAACTGTACGTATGCATATGTAGGAGAAATGCATCAATTTGTTTCATCATAAGAGAAATTTATTCATTTAAAAAATAATATTTTCAATCTGCTATCAGAATTTGTCCGCAAAACCCCCTCCCCGCGCACTTGTTAAGATATTTTCTGAATCAGACGCGGTATTCTATTTACTAGGATATGTCATCCATCAGTATTTTACAGTTTAGTCAGAATTTTTAACCTCAAATCTTTTTATGTAAATTTTTATGGCATAAAATGAATTTTTATGGCATATTTAAAATTTACAGCAGAAATAATTCATCAAAATATCCAAATCTAATACGTTTTAGGTGCAAAAACGTAACAGAATTATTCATGCGCATAAATGAGCATCATTTGTTCAAAGATAAAAATTACTCAAACTATTAAAAAAATATTAATTGCCATAATTACACCTAAATAAATGTGATAAAACCAAAGTCTAACAATTCAAGATGAAAAAAAATCAACTAAATTGTACTTTAGCTCAGTAGATGCATACTAACCCCCATTTTCTTTGCAATTTGAGTCATGCTTAATGGGCACTTTTTCTAAAATAATACTTCTAGGGATTCTCATTTCTTCATGGACCTAATCCCACTTCTGGTGTATTAGAGGTCCATGTTTGCTCTACTCCTATTTTGTATTGTTTTATGCATGGACCTCTGAGTTTGAGTACTGTTAGTCATCTTCACATATTTCATCCTTGATATCACTAGTATCATGAGTGATAAACTTTATTTTTTTTTTAAATCTGTTATTTCAAAGTTAATATAATGCTGTTTTTCAGTCGTGAGAGATTATAACTTAATAAATCCGATTTATTACATTTTTGCAGCTAAAGCAGGAGACACGTCAGACGAGATTCGACAGAATCAACTAAAGTTGGCCTTGACCTGGGACAGGGCTGACATTGCTCAGGAGGAAATCTTCAGGGAGGACGTACTGTGGCCAACTGGTAAGACTTCACAATTTTTTTTAAAGAAAAAGGCAAAATATGCAAAATGTTTATCATGAGCATTGTTCAAATTGTTACATGAATTTTAATTCAAACAATAGTATGAATGTTCTTTCTAGGAATTATGCAAAAATATTTGGAGGTTTTGAATGATCTTTATCGACAATGAGTGAAACTCATTCTGGAATATTTCCTGGGTGACGTGTTAATTGTACGTCTGATATATCATTGAGTCTGAATGACGTGTTGTTTGTATGTCTGAACTATTTCAGGGAGTCTGGATGACGTGTTAATGGAAGCCATTATAGAGGAGAGGGTGGAGTTCGTGGCCCTGATCTTACAGCAGAACGTGGTGATGAAGGAGTTCCTGACCACAGAGAGGCTCCAGAAACTCTACGAAATGGTCAGTTTCTTCTATAGATAAGTCAAAATTATTACTATCAAAGAGGTGTTATAAAAACTCTATGAAATGGTCAGTGTGGCCTAGTGCCTTCTATAGATAAAGCAACTGTGAAATACTCTCTGTAAACCTACATCTTTAATTTGTGTGCCATATTTCATTCACCCGAGCCGGAGGTTAAAATAAGTTTTTCTGATCAAAGGGTGCCCGGTGTCCGTCTGTCGTCTGTAAACTTTTCACATTTTCGATTTATCAAGGACCAGCGGGTCATTCTCAACCAAACTTGCCACAAAGCATTCTTGGTTGAAAGTAATTTAAGTTTGTTTGCAGGAAGTGCCTCGCTCTCTTTCAAGGGGAGATAAGTAAGAATTCGTGAAAATTTGGTGGTATCATTAGAAAAATCTTCTCTGGAACTAATGAACAGAAAAGATGAAACTTAAGAGATAGCTTCTTTTTTTTTTTTACATGTTATAGATTCAAATTGTTTATATCATAATCAACAGGAGTAGGACTGTGCCAAATTTTACGATAGGAATATATAAAAAATGTAGGAAATATCTTTAAAAATCTTTTTATCGAGAACAGAAGCCATAATTAATCTTATTAAAATACATGTGAAGATCCTCATGCAGTGCAGATTGAAGTTTGTTTCAATCATGATCCTCGGTTGTAGGGCAGGGCCAAAACAGTAAGCCAGAGTTTTACATTGGTATATAATTTAATTCTGTTTGTAATATTAATTTCCAGGAACTTTTTGCATAATCTGCAAAAACCAGGCATCTGAAGGCCCCTCATTTCCAATTCATGAAAAATTCCAGATTTAATGAATGTACCTTTAACTTCAAATAGTTGCATCTTACCTCATGTAAACAAGCATCATGGCTGCTAGATCTATGTATCAGTTTTTACCTCCCCTTGAACTTAATATGTGTTTTATTGCGCGGTAAATTTGAACTAATAAAAACAACACAATTTTACATCCCCAGTTGTTTAATTATTTTAAAATTAAATTATAAAATGACTATTTTTTATCGTAAATATGTAGGCTTTTTTATAATCCGCTGATTATCAGTAATATTGAGGACAAGGTACTTAAATAAAGAAGTAATGATTAAAGGGCATTTGAGCAAAAGGCATTGAAGACTAGCATAACCCCAGATTTTTAAATTTATAAGTGTATAAAGCAAATGTTTGCTTAATAGTGATGCATTTAAAAGCTATTTTAGTTAGTTGGACGTTGAATCAGCAATATAAAGGACAAGGTACTAGTCCTTTATCCTTAATATAGAGAATATTACATACTAAAATCCATATCATATGAATTGAAGTGAAGTTCTGGGTGATGTGACATAAATATTTTAAAATATTTATATATATTTAAAACACTTAATATGCAAGTTTACATATGGTCATTGATGAATATTTCGTGCTTGTTTGTGACATTTCTCTATAAAATCTAATAAAGCCTATTTAAGGTAAATGAAAAAAATAAAGACCATAAATGTCATTAAAGAAATATTTATTATGAATATTAAAATAAAATCAAGTAAATTGACTTTTAAACGTTATAAAAACGTTAATTCCGGTTTGATATGATTTAAATATGGATTTTCGGACTGTGTGATCACCCGAACACCGTATCTGTATTTACTAAAATATGATAAAACAACATATTTAATGAAATTGAATACATACCGGATGTGTAGGGGTTGAATTTTTATTTCTCGACAAATAAGGAATTGAAGTGAAGTTCTAAGAGAAGTAAATCTGAAGAAGATTGTAACAATTGGCTATTGTTCTTAATTAATGGAAACTATATGAGAGAAACACAGTGCAAGTTGTATATTATTCAGACACTGTCTCTATATCAGAGAAGATTTAAGTACTGTGTGATATGAAATATCTCTAAATTCTCAGGAACAACTGTGCCATTGTTAGTGATTTTTATAGAGAAGCAATCTTAGTTTTTGTACAATAAAGTTTTTCTTTTCTTTTTTTTCTTAATCAAACTATAACCCCCATGGTTTTGGGGATTGTAACAGATGGTCAACATTTTGGCCCTCTTGATATAATCTGCTCAAGATGAGCAAAGCCATGATAAGTCATAGTAAGCATCCTCAAGTAGTGAAGATTCAAATTTAGGGTTAATAGGTAGGGGTTACAAAAAGAGATCTAGGTTTTACATAGGAATACATAGGCAATAAAAATATAAAACTCTTCTGTTTAAGAAAAACAAATCCCTAATTAGTGATATTGATATAAAAGCATCCTGAGAAAGTGTAAATTTCAGCCCCACTCCTTTCATAAACTGATTCCAAATTTTTTCCGGCTAATGTGTTCAGGTGAGCGATATGCCCTATGGGTGTCTCCTGTTGTGTTTTTGTAAAACTTTTTTTTTTCTAACTTTCTGTAAGAAACATTTCATTCACTTAATTGTGTGTTAAACTGCCCACTTCCTTGTTCAAAAAATCTAATGTCACCGATGTGTCAGGGATACATTTAAAAATGAACAATATGATGAATAAAAATTGCCATGATCGAAAAATAACTGTTTACAGAAATGAGTTACGTAGTCAAACATTTTTGAAAAGTTCTATTAATGCAGAACCCATTTAGGACATTAATTTGTACACCAGTTCGCAGTATTTACAACCGAGTAGTCATTAAAAAATGACCAGTACAATACTGTTGCATTTTATGCCTGTCAAAAGCCCATTATTGTTATTTAATTTTTTTTCTCTATGATTTATTTAAAGTATTTAAAATCATTCAACAAAAGTTAATTGTAAATAGTTTGCAAAGATTAAATCTAATATAGTAATGTAATTACTGTTTCCTTTATTGATAGATATTAAACTGCACAAAGACATTTCATTTAATAAACACACTTTCACAGATTACTGAATTAAATGTTGGACTGCTAGAACTAGACTTTTTTAACCTGGAGAGGTTTTTTTTTTATTTTAAAATAGTGCTGTGTCGATTTTGAATCTTTTCAATTTGCAAATCATTGATCGTTTAAGATCGTTTCCATATTCGTATTTTGTTTGTTATTAAAAAAAACTTTAACTGAAAATAGAAATTATAAATACTTAGTAATTTTCGTACATGTAATTTCGTATTGAAACCACGTTAGTCATGAGAGAAATTGAAAAGCAAAATATCGCTTAAAAGTTCATATGTTACCATGCTACCTATTTAGTGCGTGTAAATATAATATCAAATGTGTTTTTCCAAGTATTTTAATTTTAAAATTAAGACACATGAAGAAAAAAAACATTTAATCCATTATTTTAAACAGTATGATATTATACCTGCACTTGAATTATATGTAATATGGTACATGTGAACTCATTGCAGTTATGAGACCATGTCTTTCAAAAAAAATTATTATTCAATGCTTATATTTGCATTTTTACACTGAAAATGTGATTTCGAAATCCCTGTATGCTTATTTGGGTAAGGTCAAAATCATCCAGTGTTTGCTCATTTGGGCAAGGTATATTGCTCACGTATGGGTATGACGTTCCATTTGCACGGCGTTAAATGTTTATGACGTCAAAGGTATACTTTAAGCTTTCTGTCATGTAATGGTGTTTTGAATGTCGTAGCTTTCAACACTCTTTATTTAAGCAAAAATATGTGTAATATAAATATTGTAAATTAAAAGAGGGAGGAATGTAATGGTTTGAGCCATGGATATCGGTTTTGGTAGCTTTATTGGTAGAGCACCTGACTAGTCAGATCTGTACTCTTTTTACAACAGTCTCTAGCAAGAACAGACAGCATTCATCTCCGGAATCTGATGGATCGTAAGATAAACACGAGAAGATTTACCTACGATAACCTGGCCCGGCTCATGGAGTCACTGATGGACAAATACGACCACAGTATTGAGGAGGACAACATGAAAGATACTAATGGAGTGAAATTTACACCGTTCAAGACGGCCGGACAGAGGCAGTTCAAATGGCCATATAAACAGCTGATGATTTGGTCCATACTCATGTTGAGGTAATTTTTATATCGATCTACGATATCAGCACTGGTAAAAATCTTCGCATTCGTTACACCTGACTGCCTTATTGTCACGTGTATCGGTGTGGAATGGTGATCCGTGTCCATTCTTTTACATATTGTATCCTTGCTATTCTCCTGCATCAGAAGAAATACATAGTTATTTTTTGTCTAACAAACGGATTTGCATTCAAAGCCGATACTTGTGACAAAAAAGCAGTCATGTGCAGCAAAGAGTACCCTAGTGCTAATATCGTAAACAGTGATATCGAAAATGTCGTATGCCTGTGTTAAATGGTACCGATTCCGATTGTATGTCTAAATTAAAAGCCCTTTACCTGTATATTGTGAAGTTTCTATATGAGTGAAACATTCTCAAATAGGACGTAAAAATTATAAATTAATCAATCAAAAGAGTGTTTTACAGTACTGATTTTTGCATGAATTTTAACCTAGTTACAAGTCGCTCAGGACAGCCCTGTCCCATAATTAATTTATGACGTTTTTATAGATTGTGTCACATTTTAATACATTTTATATACATTTTATATACATTTGTGATCCCTGCTTTGTCTTGTTTGAATCGACTTTCAGCTTGAATACCAACCTTCCTGTCCACTCCCTGTCATTCCCTGTCATTTTCCCTGTCTACACTGCCTTTTTCCTGTCGTCCTCTGACATTCTCTCATCTCCTCGTTACTCTCGTCACCTGTGTCTGCCCCTATCTACTCCTTGTCGTCCCTTGATATTCTCTGACCACTCTTTTTTGTTGCCATTCTCTGTCCTGTCTAAAACATGTTGTTACCAGAAATTTTCTGATCATGCTGTCCACTCCCTGTCATCTCCTGTTGTTGTCCCTGTCTACCCTGTCTACTACCTGTCGGCACCAGAAATCATTGCTTCTGTCTATTCTAATCTTTACCCTGTTGTCCCCTAAAATACACTATCCTCCCTGTACTTGCCCCTTTCTACAAACTGTCATCCATTGATAATCCTCGTTTCCCATGTCTACGCCCTGTCGTCCCCTGAAGTTCTCTGATTTCACTGACCACTCCCAGTCGTTGACCCTATCTACCCTGACCACTCCCTGACGTCTTCTGATATTCTCTTACCTCACTTTCCTGTTACTGTCGTCTCCTGTCATTGCCCCTGTCTACCTTCATCACTCCGTGCTCTCGTTTGATATTCTCTTAGCTCTCCTCTCCCTGTCATTGCCCCTGTCTACCCTAACTTTTTCCCCGTTCTCCCTGATATTCTTAAATTCCCTTATCATTTCCTGTCGTTTCCCCCTTCTATCTTATCTTTGTCCTGTCGTCTTCTGACACACTCTGATCTCCCTGTCCACTCCCTGTCATCCCCTGTTATTTCCTTTGTCTACTCTGCCTCTTCCATGTCGTCCATGATATTCTTTGACTTCCCTGACCACTTCCCGTCGTTCGTTTAAATGCCTAAACTCAAATCTCAATATAGTTTCCTTGATTTCTCTTGATTGTTAATGTCACAACCCAAACAAGGCTGTCCTTGATCCCTACGAAATTGTTCTTCTACAGTCGTTTAGTACGAACACGGATATAGCAAATTCACGGATTTAGCGAAATTATCTTGGATCCCCAGCTATGTGAATTTAACATATTCCTTATACGGATATAACGAATTATGGATATAGCAAAGTAATTTTATAGGTCCCAGTGACTTTGCTATAACCGAGTTTTACTGTATAGATAAAGCGAAGTAAATTCGCTAGGACTTTGCTACAATAGAGTTTTATTGATTCATGGTAAATTCATGTATATGTGATTTAAATAAAGAATTATTTTCTTAGACAAAAATTAGCCAAGTTTGCTTGGCAGATGGGTAGTGAACCAGTGACAAGCGCCGTGGCAGCCTCCAAGATTTACGGAAGCATGGCAAAGCACATCCACCATAATGAATCTGCGCTAAAGGAAAAAATCCTAGAGTACAAAGAGTATGTATTATATATATGAGTCGATAATAGGCAGTTTTGTGTGAACATTATTTAATACTTACGCCTCCGCAAAAAAATTACCGGGGGCATAAGTGTTACCCTGTACCGACATTCCGTCAACATTGACTTTCCGTTTGTTATCTCGGCAACAGTTGCACATATTCAAATCAAAGATAATGGGAGTATTTGGCAATTGATCTGCAGGAATCATGTGTACAAAGCATTTTAAAATTAATTTTCACAATGTCCACTTTGTTGCCGGCTGACCACAGCTGGATAGACTTTAATACAAAGTTAATCACATATGAAATGTTGTAATAAGTTTGAATAATATATATCATATTGTTATATTTTGGTACGCTTATCTTATAAAAAAACACTATAATATATTTTGTATTAATGTTTCAAAGTAAATTAAGAATAAACGCCTTCACGTGAAAAGGGTATAGTTAAGTGCAATCTTATATGTATATCAAAGTATCAGTAGGTTGGAAAACTTGCTTTTTTTTCTCTATGCAACAGAACCAGAATCAATCAATAGCTAAACCATTCGATGAAATTAAACTGACAAAAGAATTGAATTGTTTGCATTAAAAAATATATTAACGTCCATGTGAGGATCGAAAAAAAAAATCGAGTCCATTGCACTGGAGGAATAACACACACAAATGAGCTATCATCGCTTAACATACACATACAACTAGGATTTTGAAACGAAAATGAAGCAGCACAACTCACCTTAAATTTTGTATTTGCAAAAAATGCATATTCTCTAAAAAGAAATTCAATTTCTCATTTCAAATAATTGTTTCTGTGAATAAGAATGCAGATGGTATTACGATAATCAAGTTCAGTCATTTAACAGCATGAAATTGTATTCAAATTAATGGTACCCTTTGTTGATTAAAACGGCAGAGCAGGCAATGTAATCTACCATTAAATAAGTGTCGTTCTTTTCAGTGAGTTTGAACTTCTAGCTAAGAGGGTCCTTGATGAGTGCCATTTAAAACACCCAGAAAAAGCCATGATGTTGGCCGAGAGGAAATCGCCAACGTGGAGTTCAATGACAAGTCTACAGATCGCAGCTTCAGCCGTGAACAAGGTAAATGACGTTATAAGGTGAAACAAGCAGGCTTTTTACACAAAAAATGTGATGGGCATATACATGCTTAATTTATTACACAAAAATGTGAGGGCAAGTTTTTATCTTTTATTGCGCATTGTTAAAGGGCGAACATAACGGGGGGGGGGGGGGGGGTTGTTAAAATAACCCTGTGTTCAGTAAGTGGAAATAAGAGGGAAGAGTTATTTAAGAAATACCAGTAGCTGTGCCAAGTTGATGGGATTGAAGAGATATATACATAATGTATGGAGTTATATATGAATTATCTTATGCTTTAATATAAAATATATAATCTAAATTATGTAAAATCATTGAATATATTTTATTATAAACACCAACATATTGGGACCTGATATTCTTCTGTTTCATGAAAAACCGTTGGTAAAAATACTTTTCAAGATACCATGGAGGAAATGCCATTTATTAATATGATGGATGATAGATTCACATTTTTGATGAACAAAAACATTACAAATGGGCAAAAATATTCCTGTGTTTTATGAAAAATGACTTCAGAACACATTCAGGGTTTGACTAGCCACACGGAACATTTAGATTAAGTCCTTTTAATCATGTTGTGTAAATTTTCCATTTTTGAAAACATGCATTTATTGAAGAAAATGATATAACTTTTACAGTGCTGTCACCTTGATGTGTTATTTTTTTAAGGCATTCCTTTCGTCAGTGGCATGTAAAAATTCTATTGATCACACCTGGAACCGAGGCATTCAAATTCACCCCATTCAGGTAAACACAACTTCCAATCGAAATGACTTACTTTCTATTTATCTATTTCTATATATACATGAAGGCTTATCTTTCTTCTGTGGCATGTTGAAATTTAATCGACGCCATGCGCACATGGCGAGGTTGAATAAGGTAACCAAAAGAATGCGCACTTTTCTGTAAAATTAGTGTTGCTAATTAACCTTATGTAGTCAATACAAATTTTCATAAAAAACATGGGTCCTTAACATTAAATGACTAGTAAAATATGTTAAAAGTAGTCTTATTGATTATAATAATGAAACCATCTTCAAAAGTTAAAAATAAAAATCAGTTACAAAGTGTCCATAATATTTAATCTCCTTCCCCTCTTTACTGTCAAGTCCATGACAGAGACAACGTAGTTATTGAAGATTCCATGTTGTGCTCCGAAAGACCCAAATCAAATGTTAAATCCAGATACAATAAGAATCAATTTATCTATTTCTATACATGTATATATATATATATATATATACATCTATATACATTTGAAGGCTTATCTTTGCCTGATACTGTGGCAACAGGCCTCTGAAATTTAAAACAAATGTTCACATCCAGTGTACGTTGAATAAGGTATAACCAAGAGAATACACAATAATTTGTAAAATTAGTGTTGCTAATTAACATTATGTAATGAATACAACTTATGTCAATAACAATATGGGTCCTAAATGTTAAATGACAAGTAGAATGTGTTCAAAGTAGTCAAATTGATAATCATAAGGGCACGCCCTCTTCAACAGTTTGAAAATGAAATTGGTGGCTCAAAATATCTTTATCTCCTGTGCCAGAAAAGAAGAAACTTTATTAAAACATCCTCAGTTATGTCGATTCAAGTTTGTTGTTAATCATGATGCCCGGGGGTGCTGTGTCACAATGGCCGAAAAGTTTTACATCAAATATATAGAAAATTAAATTAAAAATAAAATAAGAATAACAAAGCCATTCTTATCATATTTTTATGGAAGCATCCTGAAAGTGTCATGAAATTTTATTCAATGGTAGGGAGCAAAATGGCCGACCAAAGTTTTACATAGAAATATATAGTAAAATTCTTTAAAAATCTTCTTCTCAAGAATAACAAGGCCATTATTGATTTTTATATGGAAGCATTCTCAGGTGTGTAGATTCAAATTTAAAATTATGAGGGGATAGGGCTGGGCCACAATGGTCGATCAAAGTTTTAATTAAAATATATAAAAATTCTTTAAAAATATAATTATAATAACAAGGCCATGATTTTTATATGGAATTCCTCAGGTATGTGTATATTAAAGTTTAAAAATAAATCCACAGGGGTGGCAATATGTAATAAATTTTGAATGTTATAAACCAATTTTTACTTTTTCCTATCCATAGTGGTCAGGTGAGCGATGTGGCCCATGGGCCTCTTGTTTTAGAATTCCATATCAACAAAAAAATTAGATGGAATGTTAATTAAAAAATTAACTAGTACTTGAATTCTTATTTGAATTAGGGGTCAAAAATTCAACATCACTCCTGGATTTTTAGTAAATCATATAAAACCGTTTTAAACTTTATCCCCTAATATTATATAATATATAATCTGATATAATATCATATAATTATATATATTATGATAATATACTAGAAAAAAATTAAAAATAAAATCATTTGAATCAATCAAATATCAAATTTTTGATTATGCTATTTTAAACTTTATAGACAAATACAATCATTCTTAAAACGAATATCTAATATGAACTGACACTTGAAAATTAAAAATACAAGCATTTTTAATGACATATCAGATTTTTATTGTGCTCTATAATAACATTTATACTTAATTTCATGATCAAGGTTTCTGGAATTTTATATATTTTACTTGTCTAGGTGCTAGTGACTGTGTTCTTCCCGTTCCTACTGTTCTCGCCATTTTTGGAGGTGAATGCGATGGGAGAGAAGACCGCAAGAACATTCCAGAAAATCCTGACGTTTTACACAGCTCCCATCACTAAGTTTTGCCATTACTCAGTAAGTATTATAAAGAAAACCACCACTCTTTACAATCACTCAGTAAGTATAGTTTACAACAACCTATCCCCAATCACTAATTTTACCATCAGTCTGTAAGTATAGGTTACTACAACCTACTCCCTTGAATTAAAAAACTACAATCCCCCTATCAAGTTGACCCATTTCCTCAATAAATATCAATTTGATATTTAAGTACAGCCAGCTTCCATTAAAACCAAATTACTCCAAACGAGTTACTTAATTGTAGTTTTAATCGTTTAAACTAATGGCATTTCTGCATTTCAGTTGTATAAACATTCTAGCATTCCTTGCCGACATTTTAACGAAGTTGGGGTAGCTTTCTGAGTATGTAATACCCTCGCTGTCGGTATCGGCGTCGATGTTTAAAGTTTTTAAAAGTACTTTTAGGATCTAAATTGATCAGAGAAGCATAAGTGATGCTTTTAGTGTGTTTAATTGTACCAGTCAAGGTTTCAGATTCTGCAATTTTAGCTGAAGAATGACCAGGTGAATGTTTTTGGAGCAGGTTTATGTTTTTGGACCAGGTTAAGGTTTTTGATCAGGTCTCATTTCAAGTAGCGGTAACCCTTTATTGACCAAACTTGCATGGAAGATACATCAGAGGATGAACACTACCAGACTTGCTTTGGACGTTGGATTTGACCTTTTTTGGAAAGAGTGAACAGGTTAAAGTTTTGAGCATATCTCATTTCCAAGTAACTTTAAACCCTGTACTAATCGAACCTGCATGAATGATACATCTTAGGATGCACAAAACCAGTCATGCTTGGATGCTGAATCTGACTTACATTTTCCAGATGGGTGAGCAGGTTACCGTTTTGAAGCATATTTCATAGCCTAGTAAATATGAATCCTATGTTCACCAGATTTTAACGGATGATACTTCTAAGGAATGGCCTCTTTCAAAACTGCTTCAGATGCTGGATTTGACTTACATTTTCTGGATGAGTGACTAGTTTTAAGATAAGTCCACTATCAAGTTTCTGATAATCCTTTCAGACCACAAATGCAGAAATTTGTTGCATCTAGGGATGTGCATTACTAGATAAAATGTTTAGTGTAGCATTTTTTCTTACATAAAGAAGGTAATATTCGATGAGTTGAGCTCTGCAATCTCTGATTACTTATGGTGTAGTTCTTTTCTGACATTTATGAAATAGTACTTTACAAGCAATAAAGCAGAACTGAATGCTTAACTTTCTTCTTTAAAATCTAAAAAAAGAATTGATAAATCATTGATTTCTAAATAATATTTTTTAGCATTAAGAAATTAATGTAGATTTTACATATATACACGCAAGTTATTTTATAATGAAAGTTCAAACAGGGTTTAGATGTAACATATATCCATAACGAACAGTATTCAAGATCAAAAGTCTCCATAAAACAATACAAATAGGAGCAGAGCAAACACGAACCTCCAAAACATTAGAGGTGGGATCAGGTGTCATGGAGGAGTGAGAATCCCTTACCAACCGGTCACACCCACCTTGTGCTCCTTCGATGAAAAAATCAGTGGTCACTTAGTGTACAAATAATGGAATAACAATTTGAATAGTTAAAAACACGCCAGCCAGCTTTTGACTGGATGATAAATTGTATTTGCTAACAAGGTCATTGTATCGACCATAGAACTTTCGAAATGATGACTTTAAACGGAACTGCTGAAATTATTGTTTCAAATTATTGTTCATAACGCGCTAACGCGCTTTACTCAATTTGTTTGCACACACTATTGTAGTTATGAGACTATATCTTTCAAAAAATAATGTTTCATTGCTTAAATGTTAACAGTGGCATTAATTAGCATTATTTGTTCGAATCACAATGAACTGGCTTATCGTATTTGTCCGGTACGTGTGCTCAGCAGAATTATCATAAAATGGTTCCTATAAAGACAACAGTTTTAAATGATATATATGTTCTCATTAATGTCATTCAGCATGACTTCTTTCTTCTTAACAAATGTATACAATCTGTGTTATATAGAATATACATATTCTTTGGCTGTTCAACAATTATTATCACAATTTCTTTATTTGTTTGAATGAAGAGTTGCACATTTGTACCCTGTCCATAAAGCTGGGTGATGTTGCTGTAAGACGTAGACTGAATGTATGCATCTGATCATATTCTCTGTTTTCAGATCATGTACATGTTTTTCGTGGCGCTGTTTACGTACTTTTTATTGGTGGACTATCAGATTAATTGTGCCACATGCATAGAAATTGTATGCATGGTGTGGATTTTCACATTCCTTGTGGATGAACTTTACACTGTAAGTTAAATACCTATACAAAAAATCAATTTTACAGTAAATCTTGTGTTATGCAGTTTGTGTATTCCGAAATCATACCTATAAATATGATGTAAACTTTAATTTCTTAACTTAAAATGTTCTCTAATATGGAATGCATGTAGACTTATCCTGCTGAATTCTTTGGAACTAATAATGTCTGCATTAGACATTTTGATGTATTTAATAAGTGTTAAAGTGTAAACAAACGGTGATCAATCTCAAAAAATCTATAAATAATTCTGTAAAATCACTAATTTTCATGGTGGGGTAATTTTCGTTGTTTTCGTGGTATGAAGAGACCCACGAATTCATGGCCACCACGAAATGTAAATTTTTATATGCATAAGCACTTAAAAGTTCTTCATCCACGAAATCAAATCCCCACGAACCAACAGTTATTCCTTCAACCACGAAAATCTGACCCGACGAAAATATGTGATTTTACAGTACATGTAAATAAAATTGTGAAGAGTACATAATACACGAACCCGTGGAAAATTCAGAGTCTGGATCAGTAGACAAGGTGGAGTCAGAATCCCCAGTTGACTGGTATGATTTGTAACAGAGGAGAAAATGTGGCAGACCAGACCGGAATTCCGACCCGAGCCTCTTGAATTTCCATGCAATCAGGTGCTCTACCAAACGAGCTATCTGACCACTGACAATCAAAACCTTCTGACCACAACATTCCTCCGTCAAGAATTATCTTCGGCTTCAGAGGATACCAACCCAGTCTCTTCCCTGGCAGGTCTTTCTCCTGTCACTTTAAAGTATATGGAATGGTACCAAATAAACAAAGGAGGAATGCAGCGAACCAGACCGGAATTCGAACCCGGGCCCCTGATTCTATCTGAACTATCCGACCACCCGACTGACCGCCAGACATTAAGTTTAATAGATGTATAGTGTTTCCAAATATTGACTTTAATATTTTATTGTAGTTCCTCAGTTTAAAATGTGCTACTTATTTTCAATAATTACTTATTTTTCAATAAATTGTATCTCTTTAACAGCTTCTTGCTTTCCCGTCATTAAAGTTTCATGGCAAGAGAGGTGACTGGTACGCAATCCTAAAGACAGTGGACATATTGAATTTACTCCTGGCACTTGCGGCGTTTATCATCAAAATCGAGGCCAATTATAAGAAAACTTGTGCTGACGAGGCCAAGGTGATTTTGTCTGTGAACTGCATTATTTTCTATCTACGCATCATGAAGCTGTACACAGCTAACAGCAGCCTAGGACCAAAGCTGGCCATGATTAAGATGATGGTAAGGGTTGTCTCTGCACGGTTGTACATTGTCATGAATATGCCTCGGGAATGTAATGTTTGTCATGTCCATCTTTCTTCCTTCTATCACACTTTGCATTAAGCTCAATTTCAAAGAAACTATTCAAATCATTTTTTGTATAACGTTATACATGTATGTTGAAACAATGATGAGAGGAATTCAACTTCATCAAATATGTTTACCTTACCATTCCTTTTAGCCTTGACCTCACATTTCGTGAATTTTCAAAGGAACTTTGAAACCTAGAGATTTGTTTTATCTAACCTTATATCCGGCTTCACATTGGTGAGAGCTATTCAACTTCATATACCTTTAAAACCTAATTGAGGTTTCCTATGACCTTGATCTGAATTAACTTTTTTCTGAGATTTTCATTTAGCTCATTTTCAAAACAAACCTATCCAAGGTATTCTAATAAAAGGTTTTATTGATAATTTGATAACAATTCTTCAACTGTGTCCATGCAATTCTCTTTTTCTTGACCTTATCAGAGACCTTTTACTTTACAATTTTTCTGTACTAAACTCAGTTTTTTTTTTAAAAAAAAACTATTCAAGATATTTTCATCCAACTCCAAATACAAACAAACAAAATTTCAAGTTACATTTTATGCACTAATGAACCTTGGCGGGGCATTCATATCCTATGGACATATTTCATTTGGACATACTTCAAACATTGTGATTTAAAAATGTTTCATTCTTTTCTTTTTTGGTCATTGTTAAAGCTGAACACGACTCGTAAATATCCATACGCCATTTTCAATGTTACTATCTACGATATTATCACTGGGGTATCTCTTTGCATTTGTTACACCTGACTGATTTATTAACTCACCGAAGGCTCAAATGAGCTTTTCTGATCAAAATTTGTCCGTGGTCTGTCGTCTTCATCGTTGGCGTTGTCGTTGTCGTCGTCGTTAACTTTTCACATTTTCATCTTCTTCTCAAGAACCACAGGTCCAATTTAACCAAGCTTGCCACAAAGCATCCTTGGGTGAAGGGGATTCAAGTTTGTTCAAATCAAGGGCCACGCCCTCTTCCAAGGGGAGATAATAATGAATTAGTGAACAATGAATTGCATCATATGAAAATCTTCTTCTCAAGAACCACTGGGCCAGGAAAAATGAAACTCATGTGGAAGCATCCTCAGGTAGTGTAGATTCCAATTTGTTCAAATCATAACCCGTTGCGATAGGGTGGGGCCACAATGGCCGATCGAAGTTTTACATAGGAATATGTAGGAACAATCTTTAAAAATCTTCTTCCAAAGAACCCACCGTTCACGGTAGCTCAGTCGGTAGAGCGCTCGCTCCGTGATCGTGAGGTCGTGAGTTCGTATCTCGGCCGCGACTGACTTAGTCGTTAAAATGGGTAGCAACTGTTCCTTCGCCATGCGCTCGGCACTTTGAAGTGAAATTTGCCGGTCCTTCGGATGAGACCTTGAAAACCGAGGCCCCGTGTCAGCGGCAGGCGTTGGCACGATAAAGATCCCTCACTGCTCAATGGCCCTGAGTGCCGAGTAAAAGTCAAAATTTGAAGCCCTTCACCGGCATACGGTGACGTCTCCATATGAGTGAAAAATTCTCGAGAGGGACGTTAAACAATATACAGTCAATCAATCCAAAGAACCATTGAGACAGGAAAGATGAAACTCATGTGGAATCATCCTCAGGTTGTGTAGATTAAAGTTTGTTCAAATCATGACGCCTGAAGGTAGGGTGGGGCCAAAATGGTCAATAAAAAATTTACATAGAAATATGTAGGGAAATCTTTTAAAATTTTTTTCTCAAGTACTTAAAAGCCAAGATTAGTGAAATTTATATGAAAGCATCTTCAGGTAGTGTAGATTTTAGTTTGTTCGAATCAAACCCCCAGGGATAGGGTGGGGCCACAATTGGGGATCCAAGTTTTACATTACAATATATCTAAAAAAATCTCAAGAATAGCAAAGCAATGATTAGTGATAGTAGTATTTATATTGAAGCATTTTCAGTCAGTGTAGAATTTAATTTCTTCAAATCATAACCCCGAAGCGTAGGGTGGGGCCACAATGGTGGATCAAAGTTTTACATAGAAAAATAAAGGGGAAAATCCCAAGAACAGAAAAGTTATGTTTAGTTATACTGACTTGTAAGCATCCTCATGTATTGAATATTAAAATTTGTTTAAATCATGGCCCTTTGGGGTTGGAAGGGAATTAAACAATGGGGAATCAAATTCAAATTAATGAAGTGATTTACAGGAACAATATGTTTTTAAAAAAATCTTTTTAACAAGAACAACAAAGTCATATGCTGTTTTTATATGAAGGCATTCTCAGTTAGTATTAAAATTCAAACCCCCCCCCCCCTCGATAAACTTTTCAGTTCTGATCTGATTTGTGCTTTTTCCTAACCTGTGTGCTCATGTGAGCGATGTGGCCCCTGGGCCTCTTGTGTAACGGGTATCGGCGTGGAATGGCGACACATGTTCGTGCTGGTTATCTTGCATTAACTTTGTTTACAATTTATTGCAGTTACATGTGTTTGTGTTTGTTTGTTCGTTTACTGCACTGACCTGTGTAACTGTTGTACGTCTCCCGAGTCTCTTACTCTCCCGCATTAGAAGAAGTATACAGATATTTTTCGTGGCTACCGAGTTCTGTAAAGTATACAGTCAATTCTCGAATTATCGCCATTCGATTCATCGCCATTTTTGCAATACCGCCATGATTTCCCTAGAACGTTTTTCCTGCTATATAAAATTCTCTTTATAACGCCAAATTTGCATACCGCCATCCGCCACCCTGTTTTCACAACAAACGTCCATTTTTAAGTGTCAGTTATCTCGATATACCGCCACAGGTGCGTTTGGTCAGTGAAGCGCGGCTAATTGGTTGTGACGCTATCCCTGTTGTAAAGCATGTAAAGGCAGACAAGGTACATGCAATTAAGTAATTAAACAAGAACTAAATAAACAAAGAATTAATAAACAATAATCTTAACATGTACGTACTAGCAACTCCATCTTATAATCTTTACCGATGTTACAACGCTCTTTGAAAAATTATACGCACTTTGAAAAAAAAAATTTCAAAGTGTGCTAAATTTAGGACCAAATCAAAGCACTTTCAAAAAATAAATTTCTTTTCAAAGTGCGTTAATATCGACCAAAAAAAATGTATATGGCTTGGTCAATATTCTACTAAATCATGAGGTATGGTAAATTGTAAGGTGAACCGTTTGGATAACTTCCCAGATAGCATGACTACGTTGGCCCAATGTTGGCGCACAGTTGTTGACTGCGTTGGGCCAATGTTGGCAACCATATGTTGGCCCAACGTTGGCGCAACGTACATGCTTTTCATTACTACACGAGGTCAGCACTGGCCCAACGATGGCCCAACGTTCAAAAACCAACGGTGATTTTTACCAACGTAGGGCTAACAGTGGCCCAACATCCATCACCCAACAATGATTATACCAATGAAGGCCCAACAATGGCCCATCAATGGCCCATCTATGTTTTATGTTGGCCCAACATCTACCCAACAATGGCATAATAAGCATTAGCCAACAGTGTTCTAACAATGGCCCAATTCTTCATTCCATTCTTGTCTTGGCTGAATGATGATTCTGTGTCCATTAATCAATGCGCAGTATTTTTATAGCTCGAGATACTTTCTCTACTAATCCATTGCCAATATGAAAAAGTGTCTAACATCTATAAATCAACAGTGATTTAACATATATTTGGGACCAAAAATAGACCAGTTTCAAAATTCGAAATCAATTGCAAGGCAAATTCTGATAAATTTACAAATTTATTTTTATCCTATTTTCTGTATGAATGCAATTTCAAAATAATTATTGGATTAAAATTAAAATATGAGAGTCTCTAGAACGATAGCTGGTGTATGATCAATGTACATTAACTGCTGCCTTTAAAATATTAAAGTTCAGTGTCACTTGCAGGTTCTGCCACAGCTGATTGCTCTCGGCCTTCTTCTGCAACCTTTGCCTTTCTTATGTCTTCCCTTTTTTTCCTGCCTCCATCCCTGTCACCAGCAAATCTAAACCAATCTTTTGCAATAACTGCTATTTCAGAATCAGTTGATGTTGCACAAAGTCTATTTTTCCGTATGGTAGCTGTTATAATAAAATAGTAATATCAATAAATCAACTTAACACCTATGTTCCTTAATTATTGTTTAAATATTATTCAGTCATCTTTTTTAATCTATTCTAACCCCCACAAAAATTCTACTATAGTTAATCCGAATTGACAAACAATAATTAATCCTTATGACTGATTCAAAGTTTCATGTATTAAACTTGAAGGTTTTGCATACTTACTTTTTCTTATCATGTTACTTAATTTAATTATCCGACAGTATCAAATAGGCAAACATCATTTTTTTTAAAAATATATACATACCTTTTAAAACGTTGTTAAGTTTCAATGCTGAAAAGGCAATCTTTCCGCCTTTTCCAACCCAGTTAACGGTCTTTGCTAATTCATTGGAGATCATGTGGCCCAAAAGGCGTCTAACAGAATTCTTCACATTTTCACCTCCAGTGGTACTCAAAGACTTTACCTTTAAGAAAATCCAAATATTGTAAATAATTCTGGCAACTGAACAAGGTAAATGAGGTACATGTAGATATACAATTTTGTAAATGATTTACATACCAACTTCCTGACAGTGTTTTCGTTCTGCAGATTATCCTCTAATTCAAGAAGCATGTCTTTTATTGTCAGCGGAAAATTGATGTTAATTTCATTTGCTTCCTCCTTCGTAGCATCATCTGCCACTGACAGTCCATCAAGCTTTTTCATAATGGCCTGAAGCAGTTTGGTGTTGTGATGCGTTTGTACTTTTACTTCTTCTATACATTCAAGAATCATCTTATCTAAAGCTAAGGTAAAACAAATTGACATGTATCATAAAATCCACCTAGTTTTTTTGACCAAATGAGTTAACAGTAATTTTAATTT